AGGCTTGGACTTGATAGCTGGGCCAAGTACTGGTGGTTTAAGGAAAGACCCATCCATCCACAGGCTCATCGAGCAGACAGAAACAAAATCTGCACAAGCACCATACGCCCCCCAGAATCTTGTTTGCAGACGACCTAACTGTCCTCTTAAGAGCTTCATCCTCTTCATTTGAAACACTCGCTAGACCAATATGTGCATTCCAGCTAGCCTCAGAAATGTGCATCAATTGGAACAAGACCGTAGGCTGGCGGCTAACAGAAGAAGGTCTCGAGCCACCCCGAAACTCACCAGAGGGCCTGACTTGGGCGAACCCCAGTGACCCACTCAGAATGCTAGGAATACAGATGTCAATACATGGAGCTACGACAGAAATGGCACCCAGCCTACTGACTAAAATGACCAGCAAAGCTTAACGACTGGGGGAAGATCCACACCTCGTCGCATGGCGGAGCGGCGGGAGCGCTAATCCTAAATGCCTCCATATATTCCATGATGTTGGTACGTCGCCGCCTTCCGGACCCCGGATCAAAGAACCCTAAAGAACCACCAAAAGAAAGCAGCAGCTTACCTCTGGACAGGAGACGCCTCAAGACGGAACTTCATCACAAAGGTGGCATGGCACTATGTAACAAGAAAGAAGCGCGAACGAGGCCTAGGCATCCTAGACCCGACCAACCAAATAAAAGCTCTCCAATCCAAGTAGATTATAAAACAGTACTAATCAGTCCTAAATTACCTTGGAGGCCCTTGAAGGGTTGCAACAACTTCCAAGCTTCAGCACCCCAGAGATCATGGAAGGTGCCTTCTGGATCCTGATCAAATCGTGGACCATAAAGAACGAATCCCTAAATTGTTTTTTTTAACGAATCCAAAAACGAACCCAGACTGAACTTCTGGAAGAGATTTTTCAAGGCAAGGAGAGAGATCTTTCCGTTGAAGGTAAGGAAACCCGTCAACAAAATGAAGAAATCCTCAGACAGACTCTCTCGTGTAACCCTTGGATAGTCCATAACAAGGCACGCCCTTCAATCTCACCACAAAGACAAGATGGGGTTCTTGGGTAGAGAGAGGCATCTGGCAAATCGAGCACATCTGGGACGAGAACCTCTTCCACTGCTTCCTCCAATGCCCCAAGATCCAACCCATATGGAATAAGATTTCACAGATTTGGTTCTCAATAACCAACACCACTTTCACAACAAACACTACCCTTATCCTACTAGGCTTCACAACACCCGATGATTGCCCCCCCTTGCAAAACAACCTATTCCAAAGACTATGAAAGTCACCCCTATGGTCCATATGGAGAAAAAGAAGTCAAGAACGATAGACAAACAACCAATGCACATGTATGAAGCATGGAAATATCCTTAGGCAACAGGTAGAAACAGAATACTGGGTCCTGTGGCCAAAAGTCAAAAGGAAAATGAAAGCGAACGAACCCAAAGCCAAAGAACTCCAAACTAGAAGGTTGTTGCTCTATCCAGCTGAGCTAAGAATGCAACTCGCCCAAAAGAGTCAACGCAGCCGCCACAACAAAAGGGAGTCTTATGTACTGATGGTCTTGACGAAGATTCTGTGAAACTGTTAGCTCATTATGTAGAAGTTGTTTGGAATGTTTACACACATGTGGGAGCCAAAGAACTCCAAACCAAATTTGAAGAGAGAAAAAAAAAAAAACAGAAGAAGAAGTCAGATAGCGCAACCCTCAAAGGTCAGGGCCTCTAATCTTCACAATATGGGATCATACAGCACAATCAACTAGTCCAGACTCAAGACCATGATTAGCTCACCAGACTCAGTAAGCAACCGGATCAAGTCCTTCTAAAACATCACAGGTATCCATATCCAAGTTAGATAAGGATCACAATGGAAATCCACTCCCCTCCAACTGGACCAAACAAATCCCAGCAGCAACACAGCCTCCGACGACAGCACAATAAAGACCTTACTTACATACATACTGCACTGCAAACCTGAAACCCCGACAGAGCTCACAGCCAGCATATGGAATCTCACAGCCTTAATCCTCTCTCAAACCCCGCAATACCCTTCCTTCATTAATTACCCTGCAGCACACACCAAGCCCCATTACCCCCACATAAACCACCCCGATCCCAACCCATACCCCTCCAGCCACGACACCACACTCTCCAGCAAAACAGCCCACCCATACCCGCAACCCAGACCTACAAGCACCTCACACAGTCTCTTCCCAAGCCAGCCAAAGTAGTACCACTTCCACCCCAGTATTAGTTCCCAAAAGACGCTACCGTCCATTTAACGCAAGAATAGACGACACGGATCATAGACGAGAATTTAAATATAGGCGATAACCAGGCCACCCAAACTCGTTAGGGTTTAGGGTTTTAGTACCAGGTAGAGTTTGCAGAGGAGGAAGGATTAAAAAAGGGATAATAGGGTTAATCCCAGACAAAGACTTTAGCAACTTGTCGAGAGAGGACGTAGGGTTTATCAAGAGCCAATGAGGGCCAAGTCTGCAGTTCTAGTACTTAAGGAGAATCTAGCTGACAGTCAGGGAACTGAGAGGAACAGATGAGACGAGGCCTCATGTAAGTAGGGTACAGAGGGGAATAGACTAGACAAGACTTCAAGCAAGCCAGCCCACAGACAACACATCAAGGGGAGTGTTTCCATGTCATAGACTCAAGATAAAAGAAACCAGGCCAACTTACGCAGGGGTGACGGGTGGTACATCCTTCCAGCAAGAAGTAATCAATGCCGTCCCTCGGACTTTCCTACCTTAAGGGCGAAGAGTGTGTGTGTGATTCCTATATGTACTTCCTTTTGACTTGCCGGTGGAATAGGAACCGGGCTGATGCTGACAGCACCAGCCAAAACAAAACAAAAAAAGTTCACCGGACCAAAATGGCTGACAGCACCAGGCAAAAGATAACAAAAAAGGTCGCGCAGGCGCTTCCGCAAAAGCTTGGCGGGAAGTTGTACTCTGCCTCAGCAAAACAAGGCTCCGAGGTAGCGATGGTTTAAGCAGGCTCGGTTTGCTAGAGGGGGTCATATGAACATAACATCCATCCGTGAAAGAGAAAAAAAAAGGATGACAAATGACGACACTGTGGCAGAGAGAGCTGGAACAGGACGACATGATCGAAAACGGCCTTACACAACGGATAACAAAAAGCCTGTCCAACAACCCAAAAAAAAAACAAAAAAAAAAAAACACAAAAAAAAAAAACACAACAACAACAGAAGAAGAAGAAGAAGAAGAAGAAGAAGAAGAAAGAANAGAAGAAGAAGAAGAAGAAGAAAGAAGAAGAAGAAGAAGAAGAAGAAGAAGAAGAAGAAGAAGAAAGAAGAAAGAAGAAGAAGAAGAAGAAGAAGAAGAAGAAGAAGAAGAAGAAAGAAGAAGAAGAAGAAGAAGAAGAAAGAAGAAAGAAGAAGAAGAAGAAGAAGAAGAAGAAGAAAGAAGAAGAAAGAAGAAGAAAGGAGGAGAGGGGTATCATGGATGAAGTCTATAGTGGAAGAACCAAAGAGATGAACTCGAAAGTTTGAATTGAAAGAACCAACAAGGCAGTAAAAACACAGTTTAATATCAAACAAAACAAATAGAATTCGACTCACAATCTCTTACACCGAAAAAAAAAAAAAAAAAAAAAAAAAGGAAAGAAAGAACATGACTGACAACCACATAAGACCATAGTCGTCCTCCGTGGATTGAAAAAAATAGCCAAGACATTTCTCACAATTGCCCTTGGAACTCTACCCCACCAACTGCAGCAATTACTCGACCATACAAAACTAAAAATAGCAGCGACCTTCTGTTCACGAGATAACCATCATGACGAAAAGTAACACAAAGTTCGCAAACCAGTTGAAGTATTAAAATTTAAAAGCAAGACCTCACAACAAAGGGAAGAGAGAGGGAGGGGGAGGGGGGGGGGGGACGAAATTACCCAGATATGCAGGGGCACAACAAGAGTCCTGAGAGCATTCTCTAAGATAGAAAAAAAAAAAAAGGCTCAGTTTAACAGCGGACTCAACCGGGACTCGACCCCATCCAGGCAACAACACTTCACCAAGAAACAAATATGCATGAATGATCTACTTTCTCCCTTCCCCCCCCCCTTCCCCCCCCCCCCCAAAAAAAAAAAAAAAACATTAGCCAGTGAAGGCAACAAATGAAGGTCTTTGCCGGACAGGCTGACAAACGGCCGTTCCCTCTGACAATTGTTATGCCGACAGCTGAAGTAGGATTGCCGATCAGCGACCGGAAAAGTAGGATTGCCGATCAGCGACCGGAAATTGCATATCAACAACAAATTTGGAGGGCAGGGCAAGGACAGGTCAGCGGGGCAGGTCAGCGGGCCACTGACTGCAGGTCTCCAGCAGAGTGACACTCGCGGCCGTTTGAAATCCGACCCTGCAACTTCTACGCCCACCGGGGATGTGAAAGCGGCAGCAGCAGTTATTTGTCAAGGGATTCAAAACACTGAACACACCAGTGAACAATTTCGCCGTGGCGTTCATCAGAGCTCATTAAACTTCATTTCACGCAGTATGAACTGTACATGCCATCCCACTGGACATTGACACCCACTCTTGCTCATATTCGATTATATATATTCCGGCACGTCGTTGGGTAGGAATCAAGTAAGTGAGAAGACGTTGCACACAGGTACTTTGTTGTCCCGTCGATACTCGAATCATATTATATTTTGACTCACCATCCAATAGGACAATGAGTAAGAGAAGACGCTGCACACAGGCACTTGTTGTCCCGCTCGAACTCAAATTGGAGCGATGCGTGGGCATTTGCTTTCATGTACAGCAAGCAGTTTGCGCAAGGGTCTCATGGCTGGGTTCTCAAGCTCCATACACAGCTCTGCTCCAGCCCAAGCAACAACTCAAACCCCATCCTGCACCCTCTTCTTCTCTGCCCCCTCCCTGCCTGCGCCCCCCCTCCTAGCACCCCCCGACCCCCCTATAGCACCCCCCGAATCCCTTCCTCGCACGCCCCGCCCCCGCTACAATTGCATAACATCTCCCTCCCTTGGAAGTGAACTGCTTCAAAATTAGTTAAGTACCTCTGAGCACTTATCTTCATCAATCAGCTACTGTCTTCACCCGAATATCACACCCGGTCATTATGGCTGAATCTAGACTGAATGCTGCTCCCAATAGGGCTATCTAATGACCGGGCATTCTATTCGGGTGAAGATGGTAGCGTCACCGATTCCTGATCCCTCTTCTCCATGTCCCAAGGCTATGGTTATGTCTGTCAAGAATTCAAAAGCAGTAAAGCAGCGCGATTTTCCATTGCTCATAAGGCAGCACGATCTTCCATTGCTCATAAAGCAGCATGATTTTTCCGTTGCTCCCAGGACGACGCAAGGACTCCACACCCACCAGCCGTCTTTCAACTCTCCACTTCGTACCTTGACATGCAGCGAAGATCTGGAACCAATCACCCTCTCAGGTCGCCTAACAGGAAATTCTCCCGCCCACCATGGCTAAGGTTGTACGAATTCACAGTCAGCAGCAGCAACCCCCCCCCCCCCCCCCCCCCCCTCTCCTTGCATCAGCTCCCATGACGACCCGAGGACACCGCCCCCATCAGCCGTCTCGTTTAACTCTCAGCTTTCTAATTACATTTCCGAAGACTTGGAAGCCTTGCCCTCCCTACGCTCTGCTAACAGCACATTCTCCTCCTCCCCTGTTTTTGTCCACATTGCATCGCAACCTCTGTGAGGACAAGTTGAGCTCTCCGTTGTAACAGCACATTCTCCTCCTCCCCTGTCTTTTGCCCACATTGCACCGCAACCTCTTTGTGACGACAAGTTGAGCTCTCCGTTGCGATTCAAGAGCGTCTGAGAGCACACAGCTGCCTGCCTTCCCGGTCCGATGAACCGATGCCATGTGACTTCAGAGGGGCATACAACTCGACAACGACAGTGACCGTTCCAGTCCAATAACCCACGTCAGTGTTGGCAGCAGCAGCAGCTCCACACGCTTCAACCGACAAGCAGCAGTACAGCACACGGTCAAGCTTGCACGGCAGAGTTGGAGAATACCACATCATGTTCATCGAGGCAAATACGACACTGCCGACGTGTGTGACAACCGGCTACCACTCGCAGGCTAGAGGTACGTCACTCTCTCCTCGAGGCTCGGGCACTCGTTTCTCCTCCGAAACCAGGCATACAAACTAAGAAGAGAGAAGACAGCCCACCGAGGCTAGATGCCACTGAGCAAGGTGCTCAGAGCATACTCACACCAGGACCTTTTCTACGATGCTCTGGACATGATTGCCGTTATAGATTCATCCATGTTTGGCCGTATTTGCGGTCAAGATAAATTTATTTAATGAAAGTGCTCGTGTGACGACTGCCCTCAAGTCTGCCGAAACATGCACACCCCCAAGTTGCAGTTTCACTCATTTTCCATTTCCCTACTCTCAACGCACGGTTGGCGTTTCAGCCTTCCCAAAAAGGCCAAAATACGCCAGGGTCAATTACAGTTCAGCCAGCAAACCTACACCCCGTAGACATCACTTTGTCCTCATAAAGCAATCCTGTCATGACCTATTAAAGGCACGACTTCAAACCAAAAAAAAAAAAATAAAAAAAAAATCAATCAATCCAGTTCCCAGACAAGGCTTGTTCTGGCTCTTTCCAGAAGCAGCAAGACCTCACATAGGAGCAATACACATTCCCGACAACAGAAAGACTTGATCCAACTGGACTCTGCCTGCCTGCTGCTGCTGCAGACCCACCCCTCTACTGAGAGACCAGTGGACAGATCTCTGGCCACAGTCCAGCATTCTTCTCCGAAATAGAACCTCATGAGTTCAAGACTTCAAGTACATTACTACCATAGGGCAGGCAGATCAAGCTAGGTTAGGGTGTACACGCCGATGTCATCAAACAGTGTACCGCTCGTGAAAAACAGACGGCTGCAACTTGATAAACCTCCTGGCTGCGGTGTTGCAGATGACAGAGTCACCCCCCTGATAGCAGCAGAGAGCCTTCGTTTCACGTCCTTTGCCAAAAATTCCGCAGCATAAACTGACAAAACTGCCTCCGCCGCCAATGCATTACATTTCGCAGAGCACGATCCGCAGACAGCACCGCCCTCATGCAGGCACTCGTTCGTAGAAAAGCAAGTACGATTCACTTCGCAATACCTGGCTGAGGGTAGTTTTCCGAACATGCGAATCGCTGGCATACCACCACTCACCTTCCTCTCCATTTACTTCATTTTTTGCCATGCTGCTTCCTCTCAGACATACATACGCAACATAATGACCACCTTTCATAGTGCCACTGTGTTCAACCACCCCCGTCAGCCTGTAGAAAGCTGGTTGCTCGTTGCTTCTGGAAACGCGCACAAAGCATACGACGGCACAAAGAATCAACAAGCCAAGGACACGATTCAGACGCATGGATGAAAGGATCACTGCCGTCAGACAATGTCACAGAGGACGAGATTTGTCACAATAATCTTGACCTTAACCCCATTGCCACCATCTACATGTTTGCAAACCCATATCACTCTGCATCTTTGCACCCTGCTGTATGATCTCATCATTTCCCTCCTATCAGTCTCCGTACACGAACTTCCTCAGGTCTCACCGCACACCTTTCCCTTCACTATCGACTTCTCCGAGACGATACTTCGTCTCGGCAGCAGCATATCGCGCTCAAGTTCTCTCGTTTCCAAGACGGGTAGGCAAGGTCAGCGCAGCATCGCCGGCACACCTTTCCCTTCCCTATCGAGTTCTCCGAGACGATACTTCGTTTGCAGCAGCATCGCAAATAATTTCTCTCGTTTCCAACACCACAAGTAGGCAAAGAGACAAGGGAAGGCTGATGCACAAGGAGGGAATAGGGGTGGAGAACGGGGGCAGAGAGTAGATAATGAGGTGGGAAACAGGCAAGGGTGGGGGGAGCGGGAAGGAAGGGGAAAGAGGGATGGTCAGAAGAGAGAAAGGAGTACAGGTAGAAAGTTAGAAGAGAGAAAGGAGTACAGGTAGAAAGTTAAGTTAGGAACAAAGGAAACAGAAAAGGACAACAGAGGGAGGCAGGCAGGGAGGGAGGAGGGCAGTAGGAAGGGAAGTGAGCATGAGGGATGAGGGGGAGGCGAGGGGGAAAAAAGCAACCTGAGGGGTGGAGAAAGAAAGGAGGGAGGAGTGTGGGACAGCGTGGGACAAGCAGGAGAGCAGGGGGGCAGGGGGGAAGGAGCAAAGAGGAAGAAGGAGAAATGGAAGGGCAGGATGGGGCGAAGAGGGGGCAGAATGGAAGGTAGGCAAAGAAAAGGAGCAGGAAGACAGGATGGAGGGAGGAGGCAGGAAGAAAGGGAGAGAGGAGAAGGGTGGAAGGTAGGCAGGTAGAAAGTACGGACATTCAATGATGAGTCGTCTTGGCGGTACCCGGAAGTGATTGTGGTAGTTGCTCCCTGAGCAACGGAGGCAGTGAGGACGACTGGGAGACAGAGAGACAGCAGGATGGAAGGACGGAGGTAAGAAAAGAGGGAGTCCTGAAGGTAGGTAGGCAAAAGGGTTTTCGAACAAGAACCGCCTTTGCTGTCTTGAGAAATGATGGGGGTAGATGCTGCGTGGAATCAGCACTGCAGCAGCGGGTGTTGTCTGGACCCTATAGGCTTTCCCCTACCGTACCTTGACAAGGCTCATGTCAACGAATGGCTAAATGGGTGTCCCAGGTACCCCTAGTACCATTCTTCACTCTCTCCCCCACCCCAAAGCTCTCCCCTTCCTCACTCTCCTCCTCACCCTGCGTCTCCTACCCTCTTTCCTTGCAGGCCCATGTGGCGCCATGCCCCACGGCCGCAAGTAGGGAGGGTCCCCCACTCTGCTGCCTCCTCAAGCTACTGCTCCCCCCCCACCCCCTCCATGTTCGTTAACCCTGCCCCTGCCCCTGCCTCAACGGGGCCCGACTCAGCCCCTGTGCATCACCACCACCTCACTCACCCATGCCTATCCCCATTGCCCCCATGACTTCAGGCCCTTGAGTCGCCAGTGCTGCCCCAGCTTGGCATGCTTGCTGCCTGTGTTTGACCGACTAACATAGAGCAGCGGGAACCCCCAACCTGCCCGCCCTCACCGGCAAGGGTACAATCACACTTGTGCCCCGCCTCGAGTGCGACAACCACCAGCAACACAAAGGGTTATCATAGGCAGGCAGCAGCTGAATGTAGCTGGCTGTCTGCCCAGCAAGCAGCGGCACCTGTGACGTGCTCTGCCCAACCCCAACCAACGCGCAGAAGACCCGAAAACTCAACTTTCCCTTTGTTAGGAAACCGAGTGCTCTTACTGTTTCTCCTGCTTTTCTTGCCTCTGTTCTTTGCGAGTTCTTTCTTTCTCCCAGAGAGTGGAGTTGCTGTTTCTCCTCCTTTTGTTGCCTCTGTTCTTTGCGAGTTCGTTCTTTCTCCCAGAGAGTGAAGTTGCCCCATAAACTTAACCTTCTGCATTACTCCCCCGCCTACCCATTCGCCTGCTGTGGCCACCCCAATAGAACACCCGGTCATTATAGCCGTATTTGGGACAACTTTTGAGTCTAGATACAGCAATAACGACCGTACGTTGTATTCGGGTGAACACGGTAGCAGGCCACCATCACAGCAATCATAGAATGCACACTCTAAGGTTCCGGTTTTGAGGCTCCTGGTTTTGAGGTTGGGGGGTTAAGGTTCTAGTTAGGGGTTTGGGGTTTGGGCTTTGGGCTTTGGGCCTCCGGTTTGGAATTTCCGTTTGGGTGGGGACACCTTCCCCCCTCAAAAAAAATTACTGGGGACACCTTCCCCCCTCAAAAAAAATTACTTAATAATAATAATTAAAAAATCCTTTTTTTACTGGCGAAGTAGACCAGTGCTTCTTGTTTACCAGAGATCGCTTTTGAGTTTCGGCAGGGATGACCGGTCGGTCCTCTGACTTCCAGTGGGAAAAAAGAAGTCCTCCCCGGTTTCACCTATAGGCTGTAGCCCTTCTCTGGTCCTTGCACGGCGGCCGCCCGGGAAAATAGGGTGACCCGAGCGGCCCGGCTGGTAGCCTAGAAAAAAAAAAAAAAAAAAAAAAAACCTTCTCTCACCTTTTATGAAGATAGGGCTTCAGGTTGAGAGTCTCGTCGAAGGCAATATGACCGTTGAGCTTGTGAAGTCGACCGTTGGCATCTTGCCTGAAGCGTTTTAAATGGACGACCAGAATGGGTGGAGTGCTGCTAATTAGAAACCTCTTCTTGGCTTTTTGCTTGACAACAATAGCCAAATCCTCCTCCTCCTCCTCCTCTTTTTCCTTCTTTTCCTTCTTTTGCCCTCTTGCCTCTGACGATGGCGCACTCTTCGTGTTCTGTCCACGTCCTCCTCCTCCTTTCACCGTCACGGGGGTTAACCGATTGGTGCCATGCTGGTCGGAACCTTTCTTCACCTTAGCCTCAGAAGATTCTCCTCTCCCTCCCACTCCCACTTTAGCATCTGCTCCGCCGCCAATGGGATCTCGACACGCGCTGCTGCTACTGCCTGTCATCCGATCAGAGTCCGACTTTGTGCTTCCTCCTTCTTGCGGTGCACGCTCCTCCATAGCAGTACCTCCTTTCGTCTTCTGCTTCTCAGTGAACACAGCAGCAGAGGCAATCCGTTGGCTCCGCCTCGGTCCTACTTCACATCCATCTCCACCACCACCCCTCCTCCTCCTTGCCCCTTCGTCTTCAACACCCGACTCAGTTCCATTCAAGTCTAAACAAGCCATCTCCTTACACAGGGCATCATTTCCCCTGCCGTGATCAATCTCTCCTCCTCCTCCTCCTCCTCCTCCTCCTACATCATGGGCATTTCTTCTCTCCCCTCCTTCTTCAACACTGTTGCTGAATGAGCTACATGCGTCTCGTTGGCATGTCGATCTGGCACCGTTTGCCACCGTTTCATGATGACGGAGGCGGCTGTCAACGGTGCCACCGTTAGCCGCCGTTTCATAATGACGGCGGCTGTCGAGACCGCCATCCTCCTCCTCAACAACACCGTTTCCAGTCGCTTCTTCAGCAGAACACAAGCTTGAACTCTCCTGTCGGCATTCGGGGCGCCCAATCTCATCATCTCCATCGCTCGTCCGCGTCCGCACCCCCCCCCCTCCATTTGCCATCCCCCTCCCATCGACAATTCGTCGAACTCTCTGTGAATCTTCGGTTCCAACAGCTTCATTGCTGCGCCGCAACGTCGAGGTCGAGACTTCATCACGCGCATCACCGGATCTGGACATGGATCCCGACTTGCATGCCTGAGCCGCCTCCTCCTCCTCCTCATCCTCATCCTCCTCCATCCCCTCTTCCTCACCCACCCTGTCACCATTCTCCATGACTACCTTAGCACCAGCTCTTCCTGTACCAGACGCTCCGCTTGCTGCTGCTGGTGCTCGCTTCGCCCCCCGCTCAGAAGACGCCAACGTCGTTGCTTTCACGGACTCGAGTCCGTCTCTAACGCCCCTCCCCCGAGCACTACTCTCTTCTTCATCCATCGCTTCCGCGACGGAGCCATTGCCTGATGACGATGCCTTCTTGGGTACAACCATCGGCTTGGACCTCTTCGATCCTACAGAGCTGTTCGACGACATAGCCGCCGACACGCTATTCCTTGCCTTCTGCCTTGCAATCCTTGCAATCCTCGCACGCCGCGTACATTCTATACACTCTACAACATTGTCACCCGCCAAAATTTCGGTCCGAGAGAACATATAAAGACAACCCTCAATGGACAACGGGTCTGGAGCATCCTTATCTTCTTTCTCCTCCTCGTCTTCTTCTTCCTCTCCCTCTTCGTCTTCCTCTTCCTCTTCTTCTTCTTCCTCCTCCTGCTTCTCCGCCATATCCTCCTCCTCCTCGTCCTCCTCCTCCTTCCTCCCACCGACGTCTTTATCCTTCACTGATTCACCTTTCCCGCCGTCAGATCCCCCAACATTCTTCCTCGCCTTGAGAGCACCGTTCGTCTTCGCCTCCTCCTTCTCCTTCAGCAACACCCTTGTATCCACCCCCCGCTCCCCAGCGTCTTTCCGACCCTCTTCTTCTTCAACCCCCCTTTCTTCTAGATCCCGTTCTCCCGACGTAGTAGTCCCAGGCCAAGTCGCAATACCATCCACCTCTGCATTTTCAATCGATGCACTGCCTTTCCCTTCTCCCACAGATCGGCCTTGTGCAGCTGCCAACCTAGGCACCACGCTGTTCAAGCCCCCCTCATCACCGCTCAATTCCCGATTATGAGTAATTGGTAGTTTGTCCTCAACGAACACGTCCTCCCCTGTTTGCACCTGGCACAGCAGGCAGTGATCCTGGTCCTTCCAAAGCGGCGCCTGCTCGGGCTCTCCAGAGGCGCGATCAGCGACAGACTCGTGGGCGGACTTCGATTGCTCTTTGCCTCCATTGCCCGCCTCCTCCTCCTCCGGGCCCTCGACAGATCCTTCGGTGCTCGGGGGGGTGGCATTGGATCCTTGTGAAACACCATCCTTCTGACCGTTGACATCTTCTGCGCCGCCATTCCGACTGTCGGCGGGAACAGGCGGTCCAGATTCACTGACGTCAGCGGCAGCAGGCGCGGCGGCGGCGGCGGCGGCGGCGGCGGCGGCGGCAAGTTTGCTCCGACCCTCCGCTGCTGCACTCCGTTTCGCGGCGGCCTTAAGTTTCCTTGCCGCCTCCTTCTGAGCTTTCGCCTTGGCGCGCTTCGTGACGCCGACATTGACCACGTTCGTCCCCCCATTCATCGCCGTATTAAGGCCCTTTGCAGCAGCAGAACCAGCTCGAGAGCGACTGCCCCCCCCACCTTGACTCATTGCCGAGGGAATGGGCAGAGAGAGGTCCAGAAATGGCTCCTGGACCACAGATTCGTGCCCGCACATGGTGCACACGATGGAGCTAGTGAGTTGCCCCTCAAACACTCTCTGCACCAGAGTCTTCTGATCCTTCTTCTCGTCCTTCCTCGCTGCGGATCCAACGCAATTGCCGTGCAGATGCTTCCCGTTCTTTCCTTCCCCCCCCCCACCCCCTCCCCCTCCTGCTTCTCTCTTCGCCTCTTCTCCTTGAAGGCCAGCAAGGAAATAATTAAGTAATTCGTGGCTGTCCTGCTCCTGAAAACCCTTAAATCTTGGGGCCTTTGAGCAAATAGCACCAAACAGAGCCTTGGGGTCGTAAGCACTGCTACTGCCGCCATGACTCTTTCCCCTTCCTCCACCACCACCTTTCCCGCCCGGTTTTCTTTTGGCCGCTGCTGCTGCTGGCAGCGGTGGTGGTCCCCCCCCCCCGCCCCTTTCCCTCTCCTCGATGCCTTCGAAAAACTTTCGAAGGGAGGAAGTCAACACGCCTTCATACCCTCTCCCTCTCCCCTCTTCTCCCTCGTTTTCCTTCTCCTCCTTGGACAGAAAATGCGCCCTCAGCGGCGCCGTCACGGCTAGGTTTTGCATCACGGAGTTGAAAAAACACGTGTTCCCAAGATTGACCAAACCGGTCAAGGACCGCACGTTTCCGCCAATTTCACTTTTTCCCGCCTCTTTCGAGGCGCCGTGAGCTAGTGTTCCCGCTCCCGCCGCCGCCGGGGCGGTTCCCGCCACTTCATGCGCTGCTTCTTTCCCATTCGTTGAAGCTGTCGAGTCCTCATAACCACTCCACACAGACCCATCTCTCTTTTTTCCCGCAGCTTTCGAAGACACAGCAGACGACTTCCCACCGCTACTCTTGACGCCCCCGCCCCCGCCGCCGCCGCCGCCATTTTCCAGCTTGCCCGAGGCTCCCTCCTCCCACGTTTCGGCCTGGCGTTTAAGGATCAATCTCCGCGCCGTTCGCAGCAATTCAAACCTTCGTTTGGCGCCGTCCGCTGCCGCTCTCTGTTCTGCCGCCACCTGCTCCTCCTCCTCCTCATCATCATCATCATCATGTACCCCGTCGTCCTGTTCGTGTTCCCACCATCGTGCTTGTGCGACGAACGCGTCGCACTTCACACACCAACACGCCGTGTCGCTGGGCCGCATAAACACCCAATGGTCAAGCTGGTCGGCATGCCCCTTCGCGTGCCTGAAACCCCCGCCGCCGCCGCCACCCTCCCCTCCTCTCCTTTCTCCATCAACCCCAGCCTCCAAGGACGAACTCCCGCAGCCCACATTAGCGCAAAGCAAACAGACCCAAACCTCTCCTCTCTCCCTCGACACCCCAGGACAGCGTGTGGGCTCTTTCCCGCTTGCTGCCGCCGCCACTGCCACTTTCCCCCCGCCACGTCCCCTTTTACCGCCGCCCTCCTTACCGCCTCCTTTCCCCCCCACCCCCCCTTTCCCCTTCACGGCTCTTTGCTCCAGCGTGCACTCTTCGCATTTCTGCAGGCTTGTTTTCCTCGTTAACCTACCCTCCAGCTTTTTCAAAATCACCGCCTCCACGTGCTCACATCCCACCTCCTCCTCCTCTCCCCGGCCACGCCGTTCTCTCCCTCCTCTCCCCTTCTTCCCTCTCTTCTCTTCACCCATCGGAGGGTTCCCCCCATTCTGCTGACGCCGCCCTGACGCTTCCGCAGTCGCCGCCAACCTCGTTTCCCCCCCCGCCCCCTCTCCCACCGTGCGCTGACTCTCATCGGGATAACAACAGATCCCGACAGCGCCAGCGGCATCAGACGCCGAGGAGGGATGGTCATCCAGCCGTAGCACCTCAAGTCCCATTTCTTCTGATCGCGCTTTGGTTCCAACTCAGCTAATTAAGCTTTTACATGTATGTATGTCTGGAATGCTTCTGCCGGCGGCGGCGGTCCCCTTTGGATGGTGGTCCCCCCCGTACACGCGTCTGCCACATCTACGAACCTGAACCGTTAGATTTCATACGATGAACGTCCGATCCAAACCAAGCAACAGATTTACAGAAAAGGAGGGAAGACTAAAAAAGAAGAGCCGACTACCATCTTGCCCCGAACACAACGCACCCTCATTTTCACTGCACCGAACCGGAAAGACGGCTTGTGTACATTCGTTATCAGGGTGCGTTGTGTTCGGGGGAAGACGGCAGGTCCGCAAGACGTATGCTAAACACCCAGGCAAAAGTTTTGACACTCTCAAAACAGGACAGGATGGAGTAAGCAGAGTAGAGGGCTACCGTAGCAGCATACTGAAAACACCAAAAACAAACCAAAAAAAACACGAAAAATCACAACCAATAGGAGGAGCACTAGAAACACCCATACATGCTTCTCTCGGCGATCAGTACGCATCCTGCAGCCAAGATAGACTTTGTCTATTTCTGATTGAATTGAATTGAATTGATTAACCATACAGACAATCAGATTTCATCGTGGGATGGTCGAAACACCACTTCCTGCTGATTATCTACTTAGGTGCAATACGTCTTCTGGTCTTTTCTACAGATGTAGCTTCTCTTTTTTTGTTCGTATACGTCTCATAAATATACCAAAAATGAAATTCTCTGTAAATTGGTGGATAACGCTTTCTAGCATTAGTCAATTCAATTCATCAATACATGTTTCTATCGAAAGATGCGCAGCCGGTCAGCATCATAGATACTTATGGCCCAAGTCTTATCTTTTTCCTGCGCGATCAGACGTCGAGATCTCTCTTTCTCCTTTCTTCTCCTTTCTCCTCCTCCTCCTCCTCCTCCTCCTCCTCTTTCTTCTTCTTCTCCTCCTCCTCTTTCTTCTTCTCCTCTTTCATCTTCTCCTCCTCTTTCTTCTTCTTCTCCTCTTTCTTCTTCTTCTCCTCTTTCTTCTTCTCCTCCTCTTTCTTCTTCTCCTCCTCTTTCTTCTTCTGCCTCTTCCTCTTCCGCAGTATACCGGTTCCTTCCAGTTCTTCGCTATTCTCATCTCCCCAGTTCTTCGCTATTCTCATCTCCCCAGTTCTTCGCTATTCTCATCTCCCGTCTGATCTGATACGACGTTGGCGCAAAGTGGATCTGAACCAACTGAGATACTACCTAAACGAAAACAAGTGAGCTGAGCTACACAAAGTATGATTTTCAGTCCTTTGTTCTTAACCAACTGAGGTACCTGAACGAAAACAAAATCAAACTTTCGACCTTAACCGTCTTCCCCCGAATAGAATGCGCGCACGGTCGTCATGGCTGTATTGGGGCAACTTTCAGTCCAGATACAAGCAACAATACCACCATGCGTTCTAATCGAGTGAAGGCGGTAGCCTTTTCTTTATCGCCATACCACACCCTCCTACCTGTCCCCCTCTCCTCCTCCTCCTCTCCCCTCCATCTCCTCCTCCATAGCACACTCTCTTACCTGTTGCTCTCCTTCTCTTCTAACCCCTTCTCCTCCTCCTCCTCCTCCTCCTCTTCCTCCACCTCCTCCTCCTCTTCCTCCACCTCCTCCTCCATAGCACTCTCTTACCTGTTGCTCTCCTTCTCTTCTTACCCCTTCTCCTCCTCCTTCTCCTCTTCCTTCCTAATTCTCCTCAAATTTCTCTCTATGACAGTTGTCGTCATCGCCCTCTCTTCTCTTCCCCAGCTTCATTCTTCTTCTTCTTCTTCTTCTTCTTCTTCTTCTTCTTCCTTCTTCTTCACACCTTGTCTCTGTTTTCTTCCTCCTCCTCCCTCTCCTGACATACTAGTATATTTATTCATTTACAGTCGTTTTCCGTATATGAGGAAATTCCACAGAAATCTAGTACACTCAAACTACTCTCGACCTACCGCCTTCCCCCGAACACAACGCACCCTTATTTTGGCTGTGTCTGGCCGGAAATATAGCTTGTATACATTTATTTTTAGGGTGCGTTGTGTTCGGGGGAAGACGGTGGTTACAATCACAGAGGAGGAGACGAGCCGCCTGTCGAGATTGGCGAGCATTGATTTTGTCCCTTATATTGCTTTAAGATGTGCAACGGTCTGAGCAACGACCGTTTGGTTTCTTGATTGCGTGCTGCTTCGTATGCAAGCAACGCCTCCTGCGTAAACAGCAGCACTGTATCTAGACCCCTTTCAGTACTGGTACGGTCGAAAGAATAGAATTCACCGCCCGCAAGATTCTTGACCACATACTGCTTCGTCAACAAGAAACTTTTCTCCTTGATGAACTACTACTACACCGCGTCTAGAGGTCTTTTTTTTTTTTTTTTTTTTTATAGAGGTCTTCGAGTACTGGTACAAGTAAACAAATAAGTAAAAACCTCAGTGCGTAATAATCGAGTGTGGTTGATCACTGGGTGTAAGGGTTCGGATGCTCGATTAGGTGGTTGATTAGTTTTTAATTTCTATATAATTCTATTTGATTTTATTACTGTTGTCGGTCGATTGGTTTCTTGATAGATAGATCTATCGATCGATCAATCCATCATTGGGTCAATAAAATATGATGTAGGGATTATGGTTTCGTTGGGTGGGTGGTTATATAATTGCTTGGCTCATTTATATTGTATTATTGGTAAATTGGCAAGTTGGGTGAGCTCGTAGTAATCGATTCAATGCTTCACTAATTGATCGTCGATCAGCCGAAACAGCAAACACCCGCCAATGATAATAGCGCGATGACCGCACCCCCATCTCTCTCTCTCTCTCTCTCTCTCTCTCTCTCTCTCTCTCTCTCTCTCTCTCTCTCTCTCTCTCTCTCTCTCTCTCTCTCTCTCTCTCTCTCTCTCTCTCTCTCTCTCTCACACACACACACACACACACACAAACACACACGGCGGGCGCGCGCTCATTTTAATAGGTATGCTTCTTTTTTTTTGCCTATATTCTCTAAGCTCCCAAGCCGGGGACCTGGTCATGCTTCACAGTCCGTTCTCTAGCTCACGGCAGGAACGTGAGACACAGACACACACGCACACACACTGCGCGCGCGCTCTCATTTTAGTAATAGGTATGCTTCATGTTTTTTGCCTATGTTTTCTAAGGCTCCCAAGCCGGGGATCTGGTCATGCTGCACAGTCCGTTCTCTAGCTCACGGCAGGAACGTGACAGTCAGCAGATCAATCTCATGCAAGTCTGCTTGCGGCGAACACAGAACATCATGCAGTGATTCCAGAGCTCAACTTTTCGACCACCTCTCTTTGATAAGCTTGGCTTCGACAAACAACAACAACATGATGCGGAGGAGGACTACCAGGAAGACGCGGAGGAGGAGGAGGAGGAGGAGGAGGAGGAGGACAGGAGGTCGGACTCAGCTTCTTCCGATCACTACCTCGAGAATGACCGTCAACGACTACGGCTCTCGTGAGTAGACTGCCGTTGCAAGCAGCTTCCGCAGCAATACATGATTCCTTAAAGACAGCTTAGGGTAGAAGATCGGAAACCGGTTTGCGTCCTCATCCTCGATCCGCAGCCCTATACCCCTTTTACCCTTTTTACCCCTACCCTACCCTAATTCCTAGAGGTCGGTGCAAGCTCATGGAAAACGAAAGCAAAACCAAGGATGGTGCCGAGAATAGATCGAGTGAGAAGACATACCATATGAGATGCAGAACCGTCAGCACGAGGAGGAAACAGGGACAGAGGGGAGAGGAACGAGGAGGAGGGAGGAGGAGGGAGGAGGAGAGAAAGAGACCGAAGCGGGGAAAGAGGCGAAGGGGCACGTAGTATTAGTATGAGAATAGTCGGGTCGATCACGAGGAGAAGACGGAGACAGAGGGGAGAGGGGAGAGGACCAAAGACGAGGAGAGAAGATTAACTCAGTTCTGAAGAAGAGGACAGGACACGCAGTGGAAAAGATCGACGGTGCTAATCAGAGGGGGAGGGCATTGAATACAGTAGTCAATCAATTAATTAATAATTAATTAATAACGGGATGACAGGTCAACCGCTTGCCAGAGACTACGGTAGCCTTCAGGCTGACCTATTCTACCCGAGGATCGAGCAGCTCACCTTTCGGTCGCTCGCTTGAGTGTCCATGCCTTGCGCTCATCGCACCCACCGTCTTGGCTATGGCATTGTCATGACCAGGTGAACGGGCAAGCATTCCCGCGATTTTTCTCGAAGAGGCAAGCATTCTGCCGAGCTGTAGAAGGGCCTTTCCTGGCTAAGGGGGGGTGTCAGAACAACACTAAGGGCATACTCACACTGGGACCTATAATTCCAAATCCCCCCCCGAAAAAAGGGTAGCGGGCCGATCACACAGATTTGCCGAAGTACCAGATGTACTATCGGTGTGCCCATTTGTCAGCGGCCTGGGAAGCGGCGGGGCAAGGGAATTTGCGGTCACCTCTGGGACCATGTCCCACGTGCGCCGTTTAGCTGAGGCAACTCAACGGTGTGACAGCTGAAAATGTTCCTCGCTCAGCTATCAAGTCCGAGGCTCGGACCAGGCCCGATCGTTCCCAAGCCTCAGACTTTTTTTTTTTTTAATTGTCGCTTCTCAATTATAACAGGGAAAAATTGAGGCCGGGGAAACCTCACAATTCAACCCGGAGTTACCCTGGGAGCATTACCCAGTTTCGCTTACGAGCTGCGCTCGGAACTCAAATTACCATCCAAGCTCAGGAGCTATAGGAAACTCAAGGAACGATTGACCAAAACACAGGACTGCGTCCTGCTACCTTGCTCCTGGCAGAAAGGGGCAAACAAAAACAAGCAACAAGCCATAAAATCCTCACAAACCAAAATGAGCCTACCAAATCAAAGCACTCAGAGCCGAAACTACAAACTAGCAACACCCTAACAACTATCCCTACCACCCAAAGTCCCGTCTAATACGACGGGGTGGACCTCGCGAGGACACACAGACTACAGTGAGGTGCTCCATCCTCCGAACAGAGCCAGCCTGCCCTCCTCCTGCGGATAGTAAGAACCGAGCACCCAGGTTCAAATGTCTCCAAACCAGCGATCCCATACCAGTTCCCCAGCCTCCAATTTCACTAGCTTACCCTCTTTACCCCAGGTATCCATAAACCACTTAACCGAACCGCTCTTTCCCTTCCTCACCCAGTCAGCCTGAATGATCCTTCTTAAGGCTAGCTTAAAAGTGTGTCTGATTTCCTTGTTTGACATCTTTTTGTCGTCAAACACACGCAAGTTTCTTTCCTTCCAAATGACATCACAACCGATCGCACGAACTACCTGAGCAACATAGCCCCACCCTTGCCCTCGACTCAATGAATCAGGGATTCCACCCAATAGGACCCAAATTCGATCCCAGTCCAAACAGTTCTCGGTGATTTTGGACCAATAACTCTGCCACCAGTCCCAAATCCGCTTTGAAGCTGGACAGTCATACCAAGGACGAGTGGTCGATTCATATGCCCAACTGCACCGTCTGCAGGTTATATCCACGTTCAATCCTCGTTGCACTAAGTTGACTGCCGAGGGAGTGACCATTAGAGAAAGTAGCCACAAATTAACAGCCAGCCTAGGATTCGGGGCCTTAGCCAGTTGACCCCAACAACGCAAAAATGCTTTTTCGAGAGAATGGGTATCACAGTCCAGAACTTGCTTCCATCTTCCTGTGGCTACATTGTCTACCGCGTGGGCGCGGGGAACGCAACCCTAAGGTAGCCAAATCAATGAGACTAAGAGCTAACATGAGAGAGAGAGAGAGAGAGTTTTGTTCCATTTATTGTTATGAGTGTGAGAGAGAGAAAGAAATAGAGAGAGAGGGAGGGG